CGTTTTATGGTTTACTTTTCCACGTACGATAATATTTTTCCCGTTCTTGCTAAAAATCGTAAATTTCTATTTAAATGATAAAATAAAATAAGATTTTTAATAGATGGAGAAGTTGTCCAACAAGAACAACTTGGGGTCAACCATTGATGACTTTGATTGGATTATCCTTTGACTTGACCAGCCGCTACGAATTGACTCGACAAATTAGAACCAAAACTTGAAATTATATTCATTCAAATTTTAAATGTTGTCCTTTATCATATGATTTAAACTTGAAATTATTTTTCATGATTTTCCGTATTTTGTTACTTCTCTTTTACATCAGAATTAGTTTAGTTAATATGAATTTCTTAGATATACATTATACACTTTAATGAAATTAATTAAAGGTAAATCTTTGTGTTGGAGAATGATTCCTTTACCAAAAGTTTGTTTTAAAGTCGTGGTAAATCTGGACATAAAAGTCAGAACCAACAATAGCTTGAATAGCACTTTTTCTTCTTATTTTTTTCTCTTGTGAGACTTTTTTTTTTAGAAGATAATGGGAAATTCTTCAGTGCAGTGTTTCTGAAAATGATAATAGTCATTTCCACTACTTTTTACTTGACAAAGTTCCAACTGGTTAAGATAACGAAGAAGTTGTTTGATAAAAAAAAAAAAATTCCAATTTTCCACAGTTTTAAGCACGTTCGAAGCGGTTTGCAGATCCTAATTATCGTTTACTATAATAATGAAGAAATTACTTGTTTGACAAAAGTAAGATCCAAATGGTTAAGATAACAAAGAAGTTATTTGTTTGACAAAAAAAAAATTCCAATTTTCCACAACTTTAAGCACGTTCGAGGCGATTTACAGATCCTAATTGTCGTTTACTATAATAAAATGAGTATTTATCTAAAAATAGTTAACTGTTGAGATATCAATGTATAATTGTAGAAGGACAAGATCAACAAAAAAAGTATTTTACGAGTTCCAAAAAAAAAAAAAAGATCACCATGAAAAATTCCATATAGCAAACTTTAAAGTGTTATCTGTTAATTTGGTCTCACTATATATATAAATTAATTGGATTTAGGTATATCCTGTAATGTAAATGTGATTGTGGCGTTGTACAAGATCATCCAAATACAAAATTTTTCAATTCATTATTAATGTAGGTGGAGACAAAAATGAGAAATAAAATTGACCAATTCAAATACAGTATAATTGGAATTTACTAAAAATCGCCCACTTATAAAAATTTTATATTTTCTAGCTGAAAATTATAGTGGGATAATATCCAACAAGAATTCTTGGTGGGAACTAGATCATTCTGCATTAATTGGTAAAATCTGACTTGTATTTTCATAATAATAGAACTGATGATAAAGATTACTGGGAAATCATTTCCGTAACTATAGTTGCATTGTAAGTATTTTTTATAGTGGGATTACGAGTTATATTTTTTATGTGTTAGATAAGAGATTTGAGAAGTGACTACAGTTTAATGACAAACAAAAAGACCATTACCTCATGTTCTAAATTAAGTTTTTTTTTTTTTTCGTTTTAGTCGAGAAAACTAAAGTTGAATCGTAAATAAACTCGTAAAATATTTTAGAGAAGTGAGAAAGGAGCTCAAGAGTAAATATTCGGTCTCAATCAGGTGGCTTTGCCATTGTCCAATTCGGAGAAACTACCGAATAGAAAAATGTAAAAAAAAAATCCTCATGTTATTCTTTTTCTTTTGTTCTTCTCTCCAAGTTACAATTTCGAAACAAAGCATACAAATCTTACCTTTACGAGCACAAAGTCGGACTTATGCGGTAAAGTCATAATGATAAAATAGAAGGTTTCGTCGTAACAAAGAATATTAATATGCAAACAATAATGATGAGCCTTGAAGAAATTAATATCTGGAGCATTGAATCCTTGTCATACATTTTTGGAAGAGAGACACAAAAATCAAATCAGGGTGTCAAAAGTCAGTCCTATCCTTGGCGTTTTCCTTTATATTCTCAATCAATGAAGGGTAAAAGCGTCATATTGGGTCCACGTAACGCATTGATGCCAAACGACTGATTCTAAAAAATCAAGCCCGCAAGACTTTTACCGGGTCGGATCATTGATTAAAAAGGATCGAGATAAGTCAACAGAAATGACTTGACCGAATCGATCTTTTTTAAAAGATACACACGACACAAACTCTCTTTATATAATAATCTCAAGAAGATTCTTGTATGTGTAAGTCCAAAAAGCCAAAGAAAGATACAGTAAACTAAAGGCATGGAAGAGATGATGGGATCATTGGACCA